TGCACAAAATAACCGACAAATTTTTAAAAATGTATTATGTTTGAGGACGAAGCATAGAAATTTATTTCATGCTAATTAGTAGAGGTGATAAACATTACCACTGAAATCCACCTGATGATTTCATAGACATATACAGGCACCAGGAGTCCAAGTGCAACCGATTATGACTAGTATTAATCAGATGCATACAGATTAGAGATGCATGCTCCAACATCGCAGTGTTATTCACAAAACAATGAGTCTTTCTGCAAGGAACAATATATTCTAAAATGAAATGGAGATCTTTTTTAAAGGTTAAAATCTCATCCAATTTTATGTCTTACAGGGTTTATATTGAGTTCAATAATATATAATTGTATTAATTCAACTATGACCCTAGAAACTTGCACCCACTTGTGAAAGAGATGTACTCTTGCTCTGGAGTATGTTACTGAATATGTTAAATCTATAGTGAAATGCTTCTTCTAATTATGTGGCTATTAAAAATTAAAAATAATGATAAATAATAATAATTAGTAGATGTGAAAAACATCACCATTGAAATCTACCTGATGACTTTATATCCATGCTCAGATGCCATGGAGCTCAGAAAGTAACAAACTGTCAGTAGTTGTAATCAGATATATAGAGAGTAGAAATGCATATGCAAACATCTTAATGTCTTGCATTGAAAATGAATTTTTCTGTATGAAACTGTGTATTTTAATAATGAAATGGAGATCTTTTTTAAAGTTTAAAACCTCATTTAATTTTATGTCTTATAGGGTTTATACCGAGTACAATATTGTATAACTGTATTAATTCAACTATATACCTAAAAATTTACAGCCAATTTTGAAAAAGATGCATCTTAGCTCAGAAAATTGTTATTGAATATGTCAATGCTGTTGTAATGAAATGCTTCTTCTATATATGTGGTTATTAAATAAATAATTAACTGAAAAAAAACAGAAACCAGATTTATAATAAAGATGGTGGTACAGATGAGTGGGAAACGTTCTGTTTTCTATGTGTATGAGTGTTTTGCCTGCATGTGTATAAGTGCACCACTTTTGTGCAGTGCCCACAGAGACCAAAAAAAGGTGTCAGAGCCCCTGGAAGTAGAGTTATGGGCAGTTGTTAACTGCCATGTGGGTGCTGGGAACTGAAACCAGGTCTTTTACAAGAGTAGCAAGTGTCCTTAACTGCTGAGCTATCTCTCCAGCTCCAGGGGTGTTCTTTTTTTTTTAAAAAAAAAAAAAAAGAGAGTGGAAGGATGCATGTTCATTGTGATGGATAATCTTGATTGTTAACGTGATGGAATTTAGAGTCACCAAGTTAAAAATCTCTGGGTATATCTGTGAAGAAGTTTCTAGATTACATTAATTACAGTGGGAAGGCCCCTAAATGTGGGTAGCATCATTCCACCCAGCTAGGATCTAGGACTGAATAAAGAGACTATGAGCTGAACACAGGCATTTGTCTCTCTGCTTCCTGACTGTGGGTGCAGTGTGGTCAACTTCTTCAAGTTCCTACCACCTTGACGGACTGTACTCTTGGCTTGTGAGCCAAAGTAAATCCTTCTTTCCTTCCTTACATTGCTTTAGTCAGCTATTATTGCCTCAACAAATATAATCAATCATGGCAAGATGCCAAGATATCGAATAGTCTTTTCATAGAGGTACTGGAACAATAGGTTCATTTTGTACACAAGTATTAATTGAGGATGAATCACAGGCTTAAAGGTAAAAAAATGAATATTATAAAGCTTTGAGGAAGAAGAGGAGGAGGAGGAGGAGGAGGAGGAGGTGGTGGAGGAGGAGGAGGGAAAAGGTAGCAATCATATTAGAAATATAGTCTCAGTAATGAAGAATAGATCAAGAGAAACCTTGGGAAACTTCAGAGGGCCACTGGACACTTCTAGGTCCAAGAGAGAACTGGAGATTTGAGACAAATTTGTGGTGACCCACCAGGAACACAGCAAGTAAGATCAGAAGCAGCAGTGATCAGCCCAAGGGACCTCTGATAGGGAAGAGACAACTCAGAATCTATACAGGTAATCTTCATATTTCAAATCACAAGGCTAAAAAGCTGGTTTTGAAACTATCTGTGCCTCACCTAGAAGCAGATGTTTGTTGTGAGGCCAGACTGGCACACAGCACCCATTCAGGGTGAACAATGGTTGTCAGGTGGGGTTTCCTGGGAGGAGTGCCAGTTTCAGCCACCTCCCAAAAAAGCCACTCTGGGACCCCATGCTTCAACATTAATTTTTTTTCTCTCTTTGGTCTCAGAGAAAACCCTGTTCTGATCTGCCCCCAAGCCACGTGTTCTATTAGCCAGAAGGACTTCAATGGACATAGCAACCCAAGCATGGTTAGGATGTGGTCCTGATTAGAAAGTTCTGGTCTCTTCCAGGTTTCTGTGGATCCTAGCAACCCACAATGGAGGAGATATACACCAAGCTCTTCTGACTTGACTCAAAATTTTGTGTACCTACCTAATATAATCTTGGGAAGGATCAAGCCCAAAAGTAAGTATGGAGTTGAGAGATAAGACCTAATTTATCAATCACTAAAACCCACTGAGTTTGTTGGTTTGAGTTGATACTTGGGAAGGAATATAAGTAACACTTGACCCTCAATTTCTACTTTTCTTTTTTTTAAGTTTTATTCTGTGTGTGTGTGTGTGTGTGTGTGAGAGAGAGAGAGAGAGAGAGAGAGAGAGAGAGAGAGTTCTCTCATTACACAGGGGTCCCTGGGATTAAACTCAAGTTACCAGGCTTGGTGGCAAGCACTTTTACACACTGAGCATCTCTGGGGGCACAGTTTTCTCTTGGAAACATATCCTCTTTGCTTTTATCTGGAAACTCAGAGAAGACAGAAGCACTACACAATCAAGTCTCTTCACATTTGATGGTTAGAAGTAGCAGGGAGAGAAATTTGGGAGAAGAGACTTAAGACAGTCATCAGGTGATGGAGAACTCAGTCCAGGAAGGATGGCTTGAGACATGGCATCCTGCAGGGGAGGACATTCCATGCTCTCTGAGTAGGAAGCACTCGGAATCCACTTTTGCTCACATATCTCCACAGCTGCTCCTGGAACCATGTATTATTGCCCATGAAGATACACCACAGTCGTGGCATCCTTAGTCATCCTGGGATTCTTCCTTCAAGAGAATAAAGCAGAGCACATTGATAACAACACATCATTGGTGAGTACCAAGGACAGAAGCTGTCCACCCTTCAGTAGGAGAGGAGTAGTCCCACTTGTGTTAAACACTCCAGGCTCATCTCTGAAACACACCTGAGGAATCAGGACAGCGTAGAAGAGGTTGCCTTTCAATCAGACTTGAGATGGATAGGACTTGAGGAGGGTGAGAAGAGGAGCAGCTATTACAGGCATGGAGAGGGCGATGTACAGCTACCTGTAGAGGAGGTGCTGACTGGACAGACACAGATAATGAGGCCTGCCTATCTACAGCTACCTCCCTCACTATGTCTGCGCCTTCCTTGCCATGTCTGCCATAAAAGATAGTATTCTTCCCCTTTCTCATATGAGAAATTGGAAGTAACTTCTGCATGGTGAACCTCTGGGTGAAGAGACCAGGCCACATAGGGCAGCGGAGGCTTTGGGGGGCACACCTTTTCTAGAATGCCTCAGACCAGCCAGAGCCCAAAACAGGGTAGTATAAGGAAGTGGTCACAGAACTGTGTGTGTGTCGAGACAGCAAAAGGAAGTCGCTTCAGCTGAGGCAGTGTAAGACCTTCAGACAGGTCCTGGCTCTCTCTCCTAGAACCTAGCACAGGTAGTCCTGAGCCAAGTTAGACCATGTTTGCCAGCTTGACAGTGGTAAAGAAATGACATGTGGGCAGTGGCTTGGCAGGCACTCTGCCGGAGCCCCAGATCTTCCTATACACATTCCACACAAAGGAGGGAATGCAATTCCCAGATCATGCCCACTGCTGTCCCTGGAAAGCACTAAGTGAGCTCATGACCAGATGCAGAGAGCAGAGAACTGAGCCCTGACAGAGTCCATTGTGACTGGATCCTGGGGCTCACCCAGCCTGTCCTGAAGGCAACACACTCCCAGTTGTCTCCAGAGGATCTAAGATTCACCCTTGGGGCTGACATGTATTATCTTGTACTCAGAATGAAAAGAAGAAAATGATGTTGCAGACAGTTCAGGAACAAGTCAGCTCTGAAATCAAGAACCACTCAAAAGACTTCAAGGAAATGCAGAAATGGTCCCCTCTACTCCAACATGCCAGCTACGCACTCTTAGCTGGAGCCTCTCCCCAGGAAAAGAGTGAGTATATGGGAGGAGGCATTAGACTTGTCAAAGGCCAGGCCGGATCTTTCAAGGAGCGCAAGGTCTAAAGGAGGACAGCACTGTCAGCTAGGGAGAAAAGCAGAGTACTTTGCGTGAGGGCCAGGCAGGGAGCCTAGAACAGGTTGCCACCACAGGTGCACCCTCCCCATCTGCTGCTCCTTGAATGTCCAGCAGGGCAAGAAGGCCATAGTGACTGTGAGGGTGCCTGTGGAGCTCATTCATGTCAGGCTTCCAGGGAGGGGAAGATAAGATGGAAGAAGAGCCAAGGGGAGCTGGGGGAGTGGGGAACTGGGTAGAAGGAAAAGAAGGTAGTTTGGGACTTGCTGACCCAGTACACTGCTTAGCTCAGTGAACTGAACAGGCAGCCATGGGATTTAAAAGGGATTTGGGGATCCTCTAATCCAGGCCTGGGTGATATATGATAGTTGTAATAACTCTGGAAGTCAAGACTAGGCTACGATAATTTGCCAAGCCAGCTACATGGTGGCCTTCCATATCCAAGAGAGCTTTATCTTCTATAATGCTTCTCCCATGAACTTTTCATAGTACTGACCATGAAATGACTTCATAACTAATCATCACATAATCACCTCCCACTGTAACCATATGCTCCCAGGTAAAGGAAATGTGAAATTGGCCCAGGAACTGGCACTAGAGGCGAACCTGGGAGGAGAGTCCTAGGACCCATTCACCATCCCGAAGTTCTGACAGAATCTCTGTGTTCCCCAGAGCTGCTGACAGTGGGGATCTCTTCAGTGCTGCGTCCCTACAGGAGCTACCTCTTGGACACCCTGCAGTCACTATTCCAAGCTTCCTCACAATATGACCTGGACTACATCCTGGTACTAGTCCTCCTGTCAGACACTGAGCCTGCAGGGCTCAATGAAACAGTTGCCAGAATTTCGCATCTCTTCATGACACACATTGAAGCTGGAAGGTTGCTGGTAGTACATGGTCTTCTTGATGACCCTCTTGTGAAGAATAGAAATCACTTCTCACCCTGTGGAGAGCTTTATTCCAGACAGAAAACAGATTCTGCCCTCCTTATGAACTTTGCCCACAACCTCTCTGACTACTTCTTGTTGCTGGAAGATAATGTTCTAACCACCCCTAGGTTTGTGTCTGCCATCTACTGGGCATTATCAGCCTGGGAAGCGTTCCCTTGGGTGATCCTGGAGTTCTCTAGCCTGAGAAGCTCTGGGAAGGTTTTCCATACAAGAGACCTCTCCCATCTCACCTCCTTCTTCCTCCTCTTCCCCAAGGACACTCCCACTCACTCGCTCCTCTCTGAATCCCATCTTCTTTTGAATCAAAATGTTCCAATTCACTTCAGTTTCTCCATCTTCCACCACATGGGCAGTTATTCTGAGTTGGAGGACACGTGCTTTCCCATGGAGAAGGACATGGTCTTTGGAGAACCAAACAATCCTGCTGCCACCATCTTTACCAACATGATCTCATTGTGGAATACTGCTCCACAGTATGCCTACATTCTCAACGATGACTGCTTCTGGGTCATTGAGCCTGAAAAAGACAACTATGTATTGGTGATTCTAGATAGGCCCCAGAAAATCATCCGGATAGCAGTACTGACAGGATCTGATCACAGAAGGATGAACCACCTACAGCACCGGCAAGTACTACTGGGCTATAGCCTCATGGATTACCCCAAACGCTGTGCCCACTATACCTTGGTAGGGCCATTGGTGAGAGGTCATTTAGACCAGAGGGTATTTTATGAAGAAGATTCTGTGAAGAAGATGAGTTGTATGAAACTTTTGGTGTCAGCACCTCAAGATTCTTCACTTTTAATCAGACATATCAAAGTCTGGACAGAGCAGGAAGAAGAGGAGAGTTAGAGGGCACAATGAGGTTTCTACAAGGATTGGGTTTAGGAAGGCAATCTACCCCACTGACAAATAAATTTAGAAACTGATAAAGAGTTTCTCCACACAAGTTCAGTGATCATGTAATTTATTCTCCAAAGAGGGACCCTTTGGAGAGTGAAAAAAAGTATTATTTAAAAACTATACTAAGCTGGGTGTGGTGGCACATGCCTTTAATCCTAGCACTCAGGAGGCAGAGGCAGGCAGATTTCTGTGAGTTCAAGGCCAGTCTGGTCTACATAGTGTGGTCCAGGCCAGCTGAGGCTACAGGAAGACCCTGTCTCAAAAAGATGAAAAAAAAAAATTCACTCTTCTAGATCCCTTCATCTGTTTCTCTTCCCAAGCATTCTTTCCCGCAGATTTTTCTTTTTTTTTTTTTTTGGTCTTTTTTTGAGACAGGGTCTCCCTGTAGCCCCAGCTGTCCTGGAACTCACTATGTAGACCAGGCTGGCCTTGAACTCACAGAGATCTGCCTGCCTCTGCCTCCGGAGTCCCCGCGGATTTTTAATCATGCTTTGTATTTTAATTGTATGTTAGTGGGTGGAGTGGGGAAATCTGACTCAAAGAAAGAAGACAGACTGCCGATTGAAGGCAGTGATGGCCAGGCTTCATCCTGCCTTTTTAGTTACCTTGCAGTGAGGAATCAATCCTTTAGCAAAAGTTGCTTGTAAGTGCCTGTTAAAAGTAATCCAAGCCGGGCGTGGTGGCGCATGCCTTTAATTCCAGCACCCGGGAGGCAGAGGCAGGCGGATCTCTATGAGTTCAAGGCCAGCCTGGTCTACATAGCAAGTTCCAGGACAGCTGGAGCTACAGGGAGACCCTGTCTCAAAAAAGACCAAAAAAAAAAGTAATCCAAAGATGGACTTGGGAGTCACTGGACCTCTTTATCGGTTCTTCTCGCATGGGAACATTTATCAAAATTCCTTTCTCTACTTTTTAGAATTCCTTGTCTTTTTAATTGACCTATTGGGGGCTGCCAGATCTAGAATTTTGCCTTAAGACTCTTTTCCTTTACATTTTGTTTATTTATTTGGGTTTTTGTTATTGTTTGTTTTGCTTTGCTTTGCTTTGCTTTGCTTTTGTTTTGTTTTGTTTTGTTTTGTTTTGTGAGAAAGGGTCTTCCTATAACCTTGGCTGACCTAGAGTTCCCTATGTAGATCAGGCTGGCCTTAATCTCAGAGATCTGCCTGCCTCCCAAACGCTGGTATTAAAGGTGTACACCACCACACTTGAACTTTTTATTTTTAATTTTTAAAACTTAAGATTTATTTTTAGGGTCTGCAAAGATATCTCAGCAGTTAAGAGCGCTTGCTGCTTCTGCAAAAAGTCCAAATTCAGTTCGCAGTACTTGAGAACTGCTCGCAACCACTTTTTTTTTTTTTTTTTTTTTTTTTTATCTACTCCAGTTCCAGAAAAGCCAATGTCCTCTTCTGGCTTATGTGGGCACCTGCATACATGTAGCATACACTCTCACAGACACAGACACAGATGCCACGCCTGCGCTGCACGAAGCTGATCTCTGAGAGGAGGACGTCAGGATTGAAGAGACAATCACATTTTAGTGTAGCAGAAGAAGCCTTTATTTCTCAGCCCCAGGTTGCTTTTATACCCTAGCCCAGAAGGCAGTTGACCCAATGGGGGTGGGGGAGCCGTCACATGACCTCAGGGTCAGTGCCAGGTCATGGTGTTCTCAGGACCTCATACCAGAAAATGAGCTGGTAAACAATTCTGAGACTGAGGAACCACGAGGCCCAAAAGGTCACTGTGGGGGAGGTGCAGATGGAGGCCAGGAGGGCATGTCCCAACATCTCACCCCTTTTCCTTTATATAACGGAAGATCCCCCTGTCTTAGGTCGTCCCGGAGGGGTCATCCCTTACCTGTCATTGGGAGGCCTCATTCCTGTCTTAGGCGGGCGCCCTCTCCGTGGAAGTTGCCCATCTACGGAGGCATCTTCAGCGTTTCTATAGCATTTGCAGCCAGACCTGAGGTACATCTGGATTACCAGATGACAAGCTTAACAGGACTTGTTGAGTGCCCATCTGTTGAGACCTCGTAGATCTCATCCATCGCCAAAGGACCCAGAGCCCAACGACTATGGCACTAAACCCAAGAACGGTCAGCAACAATGACCCCACGCACCACTGAGCCCAGCCTCCCAGCTGGACCATGGCATTCTACCAACCTTCAGCTGATATAGGGGGCACCCTAGTATTATTAATTCTTATAATTTGATGAGCTAGATGAGATGTAAAATTGAGAAAGGTTACATTTCAGGGACCTCTCATATAGGCATTTAACTATTTTACAATTTCTGAGGCATTAACAACATGACCAGGTGTTACACAAACAGAATGATAAAAATGAGAACAGGACACTTGTTGCGTCATCCATAGGGCATCAACCTGCTCCTGAAGAAGTGCTGTTGTAGTGACACAATCTCCCCACATCAAAGCATCTGGAAGATCGAAGTTAGTGGTCGAAGGCCAACAGCCAGGGGCTGGCTCCAGACCATTTGTTCACTCAGGGCAGGATTCATCAAGATGATTGCTGCTGGCGCCTGTAGAATCAGCGTTGGTCTCATCAAGGTTGGCCTCCACTGGACGAACATATCTTTCAGGAACCCAAATGGGTTTACGCTCCCCTGGAGGATAAACACAAACAGCCCCTCTCACCCTGGCTAATAAGGGTGTCGGCTCTTTCCACTGCCCGGATAAGGGATCTTTCCATCTTACCCATCCCAGGGAGTTCTTGGCCCTGGACCAATGCCTTTCCATAGCTGAATACCCTTTGGTATCCACAGTGAGAAAATTTAAAGTAAATAAGATTGAGGATAATTGCGTACTAGGAGAGGGAAGATATTCCCCCCTCTTTATTTTAGTAAAATATTGTTTTAAGACCATTTTTATTTTTTTAATCACAGCTTGACCTTGTGGATTGTAAGGGATTTCTGTTGTATGGGTAATTTTATGCTCCTTGCAAAATTGTTGAAATTTTGAGCTGGTATATGCAGGCCCATTATCTGTTTTTAATTGATTTGGTATTTTCATATAAGCAAAGGCCGATATACAGTGGGCTATAACATTTTGGACTTTTTTTTTTTCCGTATGTAGGGATGCGAAGACCACTTTAGAATATGTATCTACAGACACATGTATATACTTTAATGTCCCAGCTGATGGAACATGAGTGATGTCCATCTGCCAGAGATCACTAGGTTTAAGACCACGAGGGTTGACTCCCATAGAGGGCATGTTGTGAAAAGGAGCATAAGAAGAGCATCGGGTGGTGATTTGCAAAGCAGAGGCTTTAGAACACCCAGTATGGTACTGGAGGGATTTAGCATTTAAATGATATTTGGCATGCAGGTGGACGGCCTTATCCTCAGGGGTAGCTAGAAATATGTGTGTATGTATATCTGATCTGCTAGCTGATTGGGTCCAGGTAACTGGGTGTGACTTCTGATATGACTTACAAAGATGGGGTCGTGCCTGGACCATATCAAATGTTGCAACTTACAAAGATGTTGTTGTATGTGTGATGTAGGAGAAACATAGGGAGCAGTTTCCAGTGGCAGAAAGACCTGGGATAGGTATACACTGTCAGTGTATAGATTGAATGGTTCCTGGGAAAAAACTTGTAGAGCTAGGATACAAGCCATAACCTCGGCCGCCTGTGCTGATATATTGCCCATGGGAAACTTTGAAAGTGTATCATAAGAGATTACTACAGCGTTACCGCGAGGGGATGCGTCCGTGAAGACAGTTCAAGCGTCGGGTATAGGTCTGGTCTTAATTACCCGGGGAAAAATTACTGGGTGATTTTTTAAAAATTCCAACAATGGGTGCTGAGGATAATGATTGTCAAGAGCAGCCACAGTGGAGGTTAAAAATAGTGTCCAGTCATCAGTATACTGCTGCAGATGTGCCACCTGTTCTTTGTCATAAGGAAGCATGATTCTATCTGGGAGCTTTCCAAACACTTGTATGCTGGTGTGCCTAGCCTTCCAAAGTAACTGCAAAATCATGTTATAATAAGGCGCAACAACTCTGGATGGTGACACTGGCAGGTGCACCCGTATAATAGGCCCTGTTTGCCAAAATACTCCCGTAGGTGAAAACTGGGATGCTAACACCAGAAATTGCAAAGGTGAATTATAGTCTATTTGTTGCAAATGAGCTTGTTCTATACTTTGAGATAATAACTGCAATGCCCTCTTTGCCTCTGACGTAGGCTTTCTAGGTGAGGTAGGGTCAGCATTTCCTATCAACATATTATATAAAGGCCTAAGTTCTCCTGACTTAATAGCTAGGGAGGGCCGTATCCATTGTATGTCACCCAGAAAACGTTGCCAATCATGTAATGTTCTTAGGTGAGCACTGTCAATATGTAATTTTTGAGGTCTAATGCCTCCATTGTGTATCACATGACCAAGATAATTATATGGGGAGACAATCTGAACCTTTTCAGGTGCAATAATTAGGCCAGAGGCCTCTAAGACTCATTGCATCTCAGCAAATGCCTCTTGTAGTTCTTTGGTATTTTTAGCGGCTAGCAATATATCATCCATATAATGAATTACATAAAGGTCGGGATATTTTATTTTAATAGGTTTCAATGTAGCTGCAACGTATGCCTGACATATAGTTGGACTATTTGCCATACCTTGAGGTAGAACCACCCAGTGATAACGTAAGGCAGGCTTAGAAAAATTGGTGGCAGGTAGACTAAAGGCAAATCGACAGCAATCATCAGGATGTAAAGGGATTGTAAAAAAGCAATCTTTTAAATCAATAACTATCAATTGCCAATCTTTGGGAATTGCTACTGGAGAAGGCAAATTCTGTTGCAATGGTATCATGATTTGTATTGTAGCATTTACCGCTCGAAGATCCTGCAGAAGCCTCTATTTTTTAGATTTTTTTTTTTATGATAAAGATAGGGGTATTCCAGGGAGAGGTAGAAGGCACAGTATGTCCAGCAAGCAATTGCTCTTGTACTAGAGCATGAGCTTCCCACA